AGAGTTTAGTGTTTCCGTCAGAGGTTGAGTCATGTTTGAAGATCAGCAGTGTTTTTATGAGATTGACTGGTGCCTCACCTATACTTGTTTTCTTACAATAGTCAGTTAGTTTTCCGCATGTTTGGTAATACAGTTGATCATCATTTAACAATGAGCTTTGCACGGACCGATTATCAGTCATATTAGGAAACGCTAGTAGAGGTTTCAATAAATCATATACGTTTCTGCTACCTCTTGAACATTTTCTACAAAGAAAACAAGTGAGGATTTTTCCAGCAAAAGATCTACAAACACAAGACGAGATGTACTGTACGGAATCATTCAATCCAGAGCGGTCAAGAGTATTGATTCTGCTATTTTTTATTCACGAAGAGTTTTCAACAAGAACCCCAAGAGTTCGAAGCAATCCTCTTGTTGTTCTAACGAGTGTCTGCTAGACTTCAAAGACTCCAGGAAATCAGTTGGTGAGAAAGATGATACATTCTTACGAAACTGCAACTGCATGAACAATTATTTGACTTTGGTGAATAAGTATGAAACATTCTCGTTCTTGTTCATCGTTAAAACCTCGTTCTTGAAATTCTTCGTCATGAACAACATCAAAAATAATTTTACGAACGTGAATCGTTGAGAATTTTTCAGATTTTGAGACTTTCAGGAATCTGATGGCGGTATCACTGTCGTTTGACAGTTGATGTTGTTACTTGAAAAAAGTTTCACCAATATTTGTTTTCATAACTGATGAACAGACAGATTATTTTTTGCTGTTCAAAAACTGAGGTGACTTTAAATTTTTCTCAGAAAATTTTTATTTATTCATTCATTTCTATTTTATCTCCTTCGAAGTAGTCCTCTTTGTGCCAGCGCTTTTTCCAATCCTCCAAGCAGTTCTGATATGCACTGTTTGGTATGTACTTGAACTCTCTTGGGGATTTGGTTCTCATCTCCTCAATAATCGCCATCAATAACGCCATCCTCTTATGAGTTTCTTCAATCTTTGGAACAGAAAAAAGTCGAAAGGGGTCAAATCTGGTGAATACGGTGGATGAGGCATGAACTTATGTTCGAGACGAGTGCGCCAACATAAAAAAAATAGCTAATCGAAAGTACCTAGCCCGCGAAATTTGAACATTTACCTCATTTCATGAAAAGTCTTGAATTTCACATCGTTTCAGTCTATAAATTCAAGACTCGATTTGTGAATGATTTGGAGCAGTAGTCAGGTCGCTTTTTCCTTTATCACTTTTTCAACTAATTCCAGATGCACAAATTGAAGACGCATGTGTGATTCTTCATTGCTCCCAGTGTAGATTATATATTATTCGTTGATATCGAGCAATTGAAAATTATATTGATTCGAAATATTTCAAAATTTATCAATCACCTGTAGTAAATATTTTTGATTGATGAATAAAAAATAAAGGATGGATTTTTTTCTTGTTCTGAGATATGAATGTATATGAAATAACCCTCGGACTTTCTTACGTAGAACATGCGGTGTATTCGCATGCTACTGGTTGCCGGTCAACTGAAATAGGACCGGCCGGCGGCGGAGAGCTTCGTGTAAATGTCCGTGAGTTCGTAAACGTTCGTGACGGTTCCGGGTGCCGCCACCAGAGGGTGCATCAGCCAGGTTCAGTGTGAGCTCAGAACGCCGTACTGGTGCGCCAAAGCTCACGAACGCACTTTATATGTCGGTCCTTCCGCGAGTGCTGTATCAGAGAAGGAAACCGAAAAACAAACCACAAGAATATGAATTCAAGTACGTGGGGAAGAATGTTGGATGAACAGTTGGATTTTTTAAATTGTTCGTGTTCCTTGGAGAATTTCTAGATGCCTGAAACAATATTATCGAGAAAGTAACCGCGAAAGTCATCAAAATGATTTGTTCATTTCGTATTGTGCTGATCAGTTAGTTATTATGAAGATAGAAATGTTTTGAATTGATCAGTCATTCTGTTGATTTATGGTTAATTCTAATATATTGATTCTCAAATCTACAGTGTGATGCGCTGTGATTGAAAACCTCCTTGTAAAAATTGAAATTAAAATTTTTATATTCATAACAATGACAAAAAACATCCCGTATGAATAGGTAGCCATGTTATTTGTTTCGATCAGTTGTAACAATGAACCACTACTATATGGAAAAATATTGTCATAAAGCATGACCAATTAACAAAAGCAGTGGAATCACAATCATTTCACACCCAATCAATCAATCATGAAGTTAATAATTCAGCAAATATTTTGCACAATATTGCCATGAAATGCCATCGGAAAACGAATCCACATGTTTCTAGAAATTATATGAAATCTAAAAAGGTTAATGCAGTCACTGAATCGCGTTTTGCTAATACCGTAGCTTGCTCGGGAGCTACAATTCATATATACAACAATAGTAGGTACCTAGCTCAATTGGTTGATAGTGAAAGCAATAACATGTAGAATTTGTAAACCAATCAACATCTCAGTTTTTGGACAGCAAGTGAATTTTTGAATGTAAATGAAATTATCTTCTTCAATTTTCAATTTTTCTTAAAAACATCTATTCAGAGTTCATTGTCCTTCTGTATGAACCAAGATACATTAACGATCTTTATCGCATATTTGAAAAGTTGAACATGAAAGTAGCCTTCTAAACTTCTTGTTCACTTCAAAAAATATAAAGTAATCTTAAAGAAACGATGTTGAAAAATAAAAATCTGGGGATGTTTGAAATTAGCTGTGGGGAATGTGACAAGAACTATATTGGTCAGACTAAGCGTGCTTTCAAAAGAGTGATGAGACGACTAAAACCACCAATACTTAATGAAGTGGAGGTACCTTTCGCCACGGAAGTCTAATACTTAGGTGTGATTTTCAATCACAGGCTCACGTGGAACCTCCACATCCAAAAAACAGTACATATGGCAAGGATAGCCCTGGGAATCTGAAATAGAATGTGCAGGAAAAACTGAGGGCTGAACCCAAAAACGACACTCTGGTTATATACAAGAGTAGTGAGACCCATGATAACATACGGTGTGGTGACTTGGTGGAAAAGAACAAGGCAGTCAGGTATGGCATAAAAATGCTGGCGTGCCTAAGTGTCGCGAAGGCCATGAGAACGACCCCAACTACAGCACTTGAGGTCCTACTCGGACTCCTACCATTGCACAGCTACATACAAAGAGAAGCTCGACTGGCGACACATAGGCTAATGCAGAGGTAAACCCCAATCAGCCAGTCACACGGTGCAGCATACTTGAAATTGTACAATGAACTGAAGGCAGATCCAATACTAGGAATGGCCGTGGATAATACAGTTCCGCAGTACAACTTTCAAAAATATTTCAAAACCATCATATCAAGCAGAGAGGACCAGCAAAAAGGCCCACCGGTGAAAGCGGTAGAAACTTGGTATACAGATGGCTCAAAGACCCTAAAAGGAGTGGGAGCCAGTATATATGGAGGCAGAGCAAAGACGAGAATCGCCTCCAGCCTCGGACATAATGTATCTGTGTTCCAGGCAGAAGTAGCGACCATTGAACACTCAATAGGGGAAATAGACAGGCAGAAGGTCAAAAATAAAACCACTGCTATTTTCTCCAAACAGCCAGGTGGCAATTAAGGCACTCAGCTCATTTCAAGTCTTCTCAAGACTGGTGGGAAGCTGTCACTCAAGGAGATAAATACCCGAAATAGGGTCACTCTAGCGTAGGTACCCAGACACACAATGGCCAATGGGAAGGTCGATGTTCTAGCCCGTGAAGGGGCATCCAAGGTCCAGAACCCTTCTGCGAGGTAGCAAAAGTATGTATGAAGACATCCATAAATTCACGGATGCAAGCCGAATCGATAGATTGGTGTAGTAAGCTCCCCGAAATCAGGTAGGCGGAAGAATTCATGAAGAAATCATTGTTCAGGTTCACGGAAGACCTGCTAAACCACAAACGTAGGGTTGCAAGGGTAGTGACGCGTCTACTAACGGGGCATAGCCGACTCAGGAAACATATGAGCAACATGGGTCTGACAGAAGGAACCCAATGCAGGTTCTGTCAAGAGGAGAAAGAAACCGCACTGCAGGTGCTCTGTAAATGCGAAGCGATAGCAAAGCTTATATATGAAGAGGTCAGTGTAAAGGCTATGGAGTATCATCAATGAGATCAAGCTGGACAATGAGCTCTAAAAACCAAGGAGCATCACACTAGATCTGAAAAGGTTGCAGTGAATCCGGCCATGGCCCAGCTCCACGACAATCTTATTTAATCAAATCCAAGCGAGCTTTCGAGAAACTCATATCAAAGAACATTCAGCAAATATGTAGTGTACCCCAACATGCATTGAAGAATGCCCATAGAATAAATGAAAATTATCCGAAATTGTGGAGTCCGGTACATGACAATAGACTTTTGGATGCTTTTGAAGGTGTGGAAATAGCAAAGTGTGGCATGAGGGCTATGAACAATAACAGAAGTACCATTCCAAACAGCTAAATGTTTACTTTTTCATTAATCACTTTTGAAATCAGCGAATTTTCAACCTGAATTTGTCTGAAAGTGATAATGAACCCTGTTAAGCTATAAGTAGAGATCAGATTCAGAGTAATAGAGGCGTCAACTGTGTTGATGAACCGCGCGTCGAGAATATTACTGCATTTCTGGTGTCAGTTGGATTTGTTTTACAACAAATGTTTCAGTTCTAAACTTCAGAAATTCAACAATTATATGTTGCAAAACTATTTACTTCGAATGTTGTAACAAGGATGGATTGCTTGACAAAAATATCATCAAACTGTATAATTTCAGAAAAACAAGTGTTGAAACAAAATAACACCGCCAATGGACTCAGTGCACCATGAAAACAAAACTTGTGCTCACACAATGTTGGGCATAGTAATATAAAGCACTGACACAGGTATCTATTGATGACCTTTTCGATAATAATCATTTGAAATATCAATAAATGTACAAATTCATTTTATACATGGTTATGACGATTATTGAAAAAAAACTTACAACTTTCTATTTCTATGTGACAGAGCTGCCGGTCCATCGGAAAATACTGAAGGTTCATCGGGCATGATGCGGTGATGGTGAGTCTGTAATGAAAAGGTATCATTAGTTTCTACAGATCTATGAAAATATTTTAGAAAATGATACACTTCTAGAAAAAAATATCGAATATTGACGGTTAAATATCCATCAAAAAATTGTGATAGAATCGTCAAAATGGAAGTTAGTTGCACAACATTTCGTGAAGATTGAAAGACAAAGCGAAACTTTCTCCATGAATAGAACCACATTCACACTACAGAATTCGTTATCAAATTTTTTGTATAATTCATTTCCAAAATAAAATGTCTTACTCTGTATTTTGAATATTTGTCAGCCCCGTGTGCGAAACATAATTCTTGTATTAATGAAAGAAAAAAACGTTGAAAGTTATATGAAAACAGTTGTTTGGATAGAATTCGTTTTCGTGTATTTCAGTGTTGGGAACTAATTAATATAGTTTACTGTATGATTTTCATTATAAAGGGTTTAACAAAAACTGCCATACGTGTTTCGCTATACAATAGCTTCCTCAAGCGTGAATTAAAAGTTACTTCTGAATTACAACTATTTTATACTGTAACATTTACCTACTTATATGCCTACTCTCTAATGAATGAATCTACCTGAAATGGTCAGGTATGAATTCAATAATTATATGAATAATTTTTCGAATGTACCGTACTATCTTTACCTATAATTCAATAATGGTGAATTATCCAATTCAGTTTGATCGTTCATAAGATATCGAGAGTTTCTGAATTTGTTTGTTCCCATAATCCAACATTTCTTCTGGAAGTAGAGGGGCTTGATATCATGTTTGAACGTATGTCCCTCTGTTATCAAATGAGTGGCATATGTGGATTTTTGTTCATTCTGGGAACTATTGCTGTGTTCCTTGATGCGGGCTTTCAATGTTCTTCCAGTTTGTCCTATATAAAACATCGGACATGACCCACGTGAAAATTTATACACTATACATTTTTCTGAAACTGAATTTTTATCTTTCTTGTTCTTGATGTGCATGCCTGAGTTGTTGATGGTTTTGAAAGCAATATTTACACCTTTGTTGTGCAGAAAATCTGAAATATTGGTAGTGGGTTAACCTAAGTAGGTTAAGGTTTTATAACTTTTATCCTCTTCTCTTTGAATTGGGTAAACTTCCTTCAAAGCTTGGCTGTTTAACTTTTTTTATAATAAAAAAAGACTGTTATCGTAATCATTGTTGACGGCTATTTGTTTTATTATGTTCACTTCTTCTTTGAAATTCGCCTCTGACAAGGGTACATTTATCAGTCTGTTGATCATACTGTTGAAAGCTGCTACTTTGTGCTGACACGGGTGGGTCAGCACTGACATAATCAGTGATTCGCATAGTCTATGTTTCAAGTTTCTGTTGGGCAAATCACGATTTGCCTGAGAACGTTATATATCCTTAGCCATGCAAAAATCAGGATGAGAGAAAACTTCATCTACTCATCAACACACATGAAATGATTGATCTTGTCAACCTGATTACTTACTGAAGAAGCTTGGAAAATTTTCAAAAGTTGATAGTTTCATCACACGGAACAGTTCAGTTTTAATAATCTCCAAATACAATTTTTCCATCTTCAACCGCTGTTTCTCGTATTATAATGCACCCTAATATTATCATCAACTCTCCTGGAAGTTTCGATTTTATATGAGAAAAAACTCCAGAAAAAACTGAAAACTTACTCAACTAACTGTCTAGTCTTTGTCCGACCCCGACTTTGGGAATATATTGAAACACTCAATTTCTTAAAGAAGTTGCATCAAATAATTTCCTCATCTTATCATCACAGTATCACTGTTTTTTGTTATTGTTATTCACAGATTGATTCGAAAAACAGCCTTGACTGATATTTCGCCTCTTCACCTTCATACTGAAAGTTGTTTTCTTTTTCTTTGTATATTTCAATCGTACTTTTCATGGTGACTAAAGACGTATCATTATTATTTTCTTAACAACCGTATTTTGCGTTGGTCGAGCCCTATCTCACGAAGCCCCCATACATTCATGAGAGCGCGCCAGCATCATCAACTAACGGCCACACCCCACATCGTGGGGTCAGTGATCATTGGGTCCGAGAATCATGTGCCCTGAACAAGCACAGTGAGCCAGGAATAACAGCCTTCTGCATCTGTCCGATTAAGATTTCTGCCCCAGTGCGGTTTTTTTTAAGATTCGAGAGTCGAGAGAGTATCATTCTACTAAGGATTGCAATAATTTTCATTCGTTTTTCCTCCTCTTTCCGGGCGATATTCGTCTCGCCAGAAGCTGAAAACTCCACGACAAATATCGTCTTGCTCTTGTGGTCGAGAAGGACTACATCAGGCCTATTAGCTTGTATGATCCTGAAGGTGGGGAACAAATGGTTCCAATAAATTCGGCACTTCTCGTTCCTCACAACAGATGCAACATCCCCCGGAGCGTAGGGAAACACAGGTGTCTCGTCAATACCGTAAGAGTGCCGTAGATGGTAATTTAGCACTCTAAGGACAGCGTTATGTCGATGGATATAGGCCGAGACCGCATATGCTGGACATGCTGATAGCAAGTGCAAAAGGGGCTCGGGCGCCTCGCGGCAGGCCCTGCACCTTGGGTCAGGAACCTCTATACCCATCACGCGACTGCGGTAGACTAAGGTGTTGAAGACACCATCCTGGCAAGCCATGACGAACCCCTCAGTTTCCGACTTCAGCCCACTCGACCTGAGGAAAACGAAAGTCAGGCGCTTTGATAAACCAAGGTCTCCAATGTTATTGAAGAAGACCCCAAGCATTGGGCCATCCTTGTGTTTTCGCAGAAGTGAGGTTATCTCTGCGGCTTTTATATGAGCTTTTTGCTGAACTGGTTCCAGCTCGGTGACAGAGTTGTGGTCACCTCGTTCAGTGTCGGAAACTTTACCGATTTCATCAGCTACTCGGGCAGCTGCCCCCTTCTCTGCATGGTCACGGACCATGCAGGCTGTATCCAGTACCATTATGTCATGTAGACACTCCAAACTTGAAAGTTCACGGCCTCCCTGTTGCCGGGGGAAGCACAACCGTGAAACGGATGATTTTAAGATGCAAACTCCTATAGAGATGCATAATTTTTCGGGTCTTTACGTCGAGTTGATACAGTTCCTCCAGAGTCCACTTCACTGCTCAAAACGAGTACAGTAGGATTGGACGGCAATCATATTTGTTGCAGCAACTTTGTTCTTTCCCTTCAGTTCCGATGACCAGATCTGTCGAAGTTAGTGCTGATACTTGCCGTTGAGAGAGTTATTCACTGCTGTTACTTCTTGTGAGTGGCGTTGTTCCACCCCGAGGTAACTATACGTTTCTCCGGCATCCAAATGATCATCCATATAAAACAAATGGGTGGCTTTATCATTATTATCATTATCATCATCTTCTCCAGCATTGGGTATTGATCAGAACTGTTATGAGATAATACACAGCTGTAATGAGTTATGGATACTCAAATTATTGGTGTTTGGTTTATTCTTGATGAATGTCAAAAGAGTTATCATTTGTAGTCTTGCCAACAGCAAAAGCTGAATATACTCTTGAAGAAAAATGAAAACTGTGTTCGAAATGTGTTGAAAAGTTGAATTCAAAAGAATATAGATATTGACAGAATTTGGAGTCATAAAAACTCACTAATACTCTGTCATTCCAGAACTTATCCACTTGCACTGAATGTAAAACCGCTTTCCTGACGTTTTTTATTAAAAACTATAAAACATTTCATAGCAGTAGTCAAGTCCTGTATCGTATTTTCAATTTATTTTATCAATGATCAAATTCGAGCTGGACTACTTGATGAATTTGTATCCTGTCTGAACTTCGATAACATTAGTCTTAAGATAGCCTGTGAAATATATATTCGAGATAATGTTCGAGAATCTGTTTAAACAGAATATTAATTAACCCACTGAATCCCTATGGAGATAGATATGTTCCCATAGGGTCCATTGGTCCGATGACATGCATACTAAGTACCACTTTGATAACCAACTCATAAATGGCATCTAATTACATGAGTTTAAATCAGCACGATACAGTGGCGCGTCTCTACCAGAGCCGGGGTTGAGTTAGTTTAACTAATTGAACTGACTAATATAACGAAATTATTTCTGCTCAATTTTTATCCCTGTTATTGAGTAACTGCTTCGCTGGTACTGAATGATGTGAATATATTTTATATACGCCTCCAAGTAAAGAAAAATATACATGAGATGATGGAAAATACAACTCTTTCTCATAGAAATTGATTGATTATGAATCTCATATTTGCAAGACTATTCGAGATCTTTCCATTGTTTGAATTACGGGAGGGGTTTGGGGGCAGTTCGTTAATGCTCTAATCTATCATTTCATATATACAGTCCACTTTCTCACATCAAGTTTCAAGTATGCATGCAGGATGCTGTTTTTAATGAAAAGTTCATATGATAATTTCTCTGAGCTCAGCAAGTAATTGGTACACTGAGGGCTATTACCATAACCGGCGATATATCTTGTGAACAAACTAGAAAACTGGGAAAACCAGTACGTTTTCAACTCTTTTACATGAAACAAAATGTTCTCATCAATATACGTAGTTGAGTGGGAGTTTCAACTCTCCCATTCATCAAAACTAAAAATCAGTTGAATATTCAACACAGTTAGTTTCATGCATGACACGACAGCTATAGTAAACGAAATGAATAAGTGAAATGATTATAAAATGAAGGAGCTTTCACGAGTTGTATTATTGAGTTATCGGATCGAATCATCAATTTTTTGAGTGCATTAAAACCTTGTGTGATATTGATGATGAATTATTACGTTCGATCATATAAACACGGCAAAAGTCGCGATTGAAAAAATTGACACCATAACCGGAAGTTGTACCTTCCGCGGTATGTGCATTAACTGCGGGGATGAAGGACGGGGATGAAGCAACGACTGGCGTCGCTAAGATTTCGAATAATCACTTTTGCAGCACTCACTCGCTCTTGAACTGATGATGCTAACTTGGTTGGCAAAACGCGCTTCAAGAGACAGCATTTTTGTTCTGGTGTTTTCATGAGATGCTCCTGAACTGTATAATAGGTTTAGTGTTCCATCTGCTTCCCTGAATAGGTTGAGCTACAACCTTGCCTTCTTTCAATCTAACTGACAGGTGTTTAGAGAGTTTGATTGCAATACATATGACTGAATCTTCAGTTTATTGTTGCCTTTGTGACATTATATAAAGGAATGTGGGTTCTACAAAATGGATAATTTAATTTCATAAGGCGGTTTTCAAAACAAACATGGCAGTTACTGTCAATATACACCTTCATCTGACAGCCCATTCATTGGTTATCAAACTTGAGTTCATCATCAATATTTAATCCCAGCTTTTCAGCTCCGAACCAAAGATACATATTTTTCAGGGGTTCAACCATCATCCTGTACAGACAATACATAAAGTCTGGTTTCTGGTAGCACCAGTGCTACCACTCGTCTTTATTTCACCTTACCTTCCAACGGAGCTATCCCCATCATTACATCGTCTATCTTCGAAGTGTTAGATATTCTTCAATTTTGCTCTTCTTACTGATCGCTATTATGGTCCATTCAAATATAAGGCTCTCCTGATGTGGTCCATTTCATTATGACATTGTAAGTAGTTATCTTACCGCTAGACTGAATACAGTCCATCCAGCTCTCTGAAGTCCATCGAGTTCTCTCAACCCTTAGGTGTAAAGGTGACGCAGGTAAGTGAAGAGTTGCCAAAAAGGCTCAAAGTTACCACTGAGAACAATGGAATGACGTAAGTCCATGTGCACCCTTCTTAGTTATTGTAGAGCTAGAGCATATCAGCAATGACCAGAAGGGTGTTGTCGTCGACGTCTTCGACGAAGACAAATGTCAAACGGTCCGTAATATACCCTGAGGGTTGAGAGAGAAAACAATGGAGTGACGTAACTTCTTGAGCAACTCTGTTGGTTTTGATTGTCAATGACCAGAATGAGTTGAAGAAGAAGTGTCAAAAGGGCCTTAATTTAGTAGGTAACTCCTTTGGGGTGTTTATAGGGTGTTTTTTGTTAAAAAAGTGGTTCAATGGAGACCAGCCGAGCCACGCCTCGCCCACATGATATTCTTTGTGACCCATTTGGCAGTTTATTGGAAATTGAATTGACCTTTGACCAGACATTTATGACATACTAACTTCAGAAGTTATACACCATACAAGTTGGAAAATGGTAGCTTTCTATTTTTGGAAGTACATCGACATACGATAATTTTGAATGAATATCCAGCTTTTCACACTAAAAAGTCAATAAAATTATTTAGGAAAATCCTAATCAGTTAACAAACTTTTTTTACCTAATTTATTTTTTTCAGATTCTACATTAACATGTAAGAACGGAAAAAATGCTATTGGTTCATACAAAAACTTTTATTCCATTGTTCCATTCAAAAGTCGATCAATATGTGGACATCACAGTATTGAACAATTCCATAAACCATCCATAACTCACAAATATGTTTGGTGGCAAACTAAAGACGATTTATATAAATATGCAAATACTCTTGAAAAAAATGCTTAGCTTCACCAGAAGTGTGATAACAAGGTTCATGAAGTGTTATTGAAAAATATGGTTAATTTTCCATGATTAATAAAAAATGTAGATGAATTGCGTATTTTATTCTCCTACTTTCATAGTTCAGTATCAGTAAAATGAACACAAACTATTATGTCAACAAATTACGACCTCAAAGGTCAATTTAATTTCCAATAAACTGCCAAATGCGTCACAAAGAATATCATGTGGGCAAGGCGTGGTTCGGCTGGTCTCCATCGAACCACTTTTTCAACAAAAAACACCCTCTATACACCCCAAAGGTGTTACCTACTAAATTAACGCCCTTTTGACACTTCTTCTTCAACCCATTATGGTCATTGATAATGAAAACCAACAGGGTTGCACAAGAAGTAACGTCACTCCATTGTTTTTTTTTCTCAACACTCAGGGTATATTAAAGAACTTTTGACATTTTCCTTCGTCGAAGACGTCGACGACAACACCCTTCTGGTCATTGCTGATATCCTCTACAAGAACTAACAAGGGTGCACAAGAACTTACGTCATTCCATTGTTCTAAGTGGTAACCTTAAGCCTTTTTGGCAACTCTTCAATTACCTGTGTCACCTTTACACCTAAGGGTTGAGCTGGATGGACTGTATCCAGTCTAGCGTAAGATAACTACTATTGTACTAGTCTGAGATAAGTGAGTCCCTTACAAAAACCAGTACTTTGAATCAATTGTGAACCAGAAGACATAGTGTTGAATTCATTAAAAATTTTCCTAATGGTACGGACCACCATCCTTGCTTCCCATGTTACTATTAATTCCTGATATGTACCAATCTTCCTGCAAGCTAACAGTCATTATTTCGGCAGCTGGATGTATGAACGCCCCCAATATGCAAGAATGGAACTAAAAGTACCTACCTCCCAAGTTCTTGTGAATATATTGAGTAAAATGGCCTTTTTGCCAGTTATAGATTTCTCATATGCCATTCAACTAGTATGACACAAAAAAAATCCTAATCATCTCTGCTAGATTTGTGAATTATGAAAATCAATATTTTCAATGATACTAGTCATTGAAGAAATAATGTCCAATATGTATTTGCGTGTTCTGTGGTGATAAAAGGCAGTAGATAAATTATTCATCCGCGTAGGTAGCAGGATGCAATTCGTATTACGTGATGTATGTCTGTCAATGAATTCCTTTTGTGAAAGGTCGATAAATGCAGTAGAGGTGTGTTGTAATTAATAATGGATGGGAAATACATGATGGGTTAGGGAAAAACAAATCGAACTCTCTAGATTCTGGCAAAGGCAATGAATATGAGTTTTTAATCAGGACTGCTTCCTTCCTGCATGGAGGAGGTGACTTAAAAGATTCATTTAATGTTCATCGAATTTCACTCATCGAGAAATTTGTCAGAGAGATGTTGCCCAAATAGTTCAGTTTGTATTCTGGAAAGACATACAGCAACACATTGAAGCAACATACACTGTATAAAAGCCAGATGTAATGAATTTATTATTTCATTTACAGTACATCCCAGTCTACTCGATGTATGTGGGTTTTCCTCAAACTCAGACATCACATCCAATTTGCTTTTTTTCATCTACCCCACATGACCAAGCTCGGGAAACTGCTTCTCTATTTTGCTTATTGTTTCTTGAGATATGGGCGGTAAATTCGGAAATTTCTCGTGAATTAGGCGAGCTACTTCCTGTTGTGTTCGGGTTTTATCTCCGTAACCAATCATTTGTAAAACTGTTATTTTATGCATTTTCGTTAATCTAACCATTTGTCAGACTTGAAATTAGCGAACATTAAACTTAAATTAAAATACTGACAACTAATATTGTAACATACAAAACAAGTTATTCACAGTTGGCTAGTACCGTGTTAAGAATCACACGTTAAAAGGTAAGACTTCGTTAGTCCTTAGCTCGCACAAGTTTCTCAACTTCTGAGAGTTGTTGTTTGTATGATGGGCGACAGCTGATTAACGGAAAAACAAATTTTAAACAGATGTTTTAAAGGATACTATCTAAAAAGAACATTTCTATGGTTTTTGCCTAATTTCTTATCATCAATACCTGAACATGAAATAAGTTTTGAGTATATTGCAATAAGTTTTGAGGGTATTTTATAGGATTTCAGTATTATATCTTGATTGTTGCAATACACTTGAAAGCGATAACATTCTTAAATAGAGAATGAAGAGACTTTTCAAAAGATATGTCACGAACCTATACTTCCCATTCAAAAAATTGTGGGTTGTATCTGTCATACGTAGGGGGTTGAAGGTAGGGGTGGCATTTTTACGTCGATGAATGTCAAATTATGAGTTACATTCGACGTGTTTCGAGATTTTTTTTAAATATGTACAGTAACCGAAATAATGAATTTATTCCTTTAGGATTTTACACACTGTATAGAGAAAGCATGATCACACCACAAATTTAAAAATCGACACATTTCACGACTTCACATGAATGTGAAAAATTTAATTGAAAATGGGTTCGATTCAATTTTCATCAAGTATTCACAACAATGTTGTTTTTGAATATATTTTTGCCTTGTCTTATCCTTGTAGTAGTTGAGCCAATCAACCCTTCTATCGATGAAATCACCCACCAGCGAATAAAATTTTTATCATTATTACTATTTTCATATAAAAATGACAACTCACCGAATACTTCGTGTGATCGATCCTGAATGATGTATCCGAATGAATTCATTTAGGGTGGTCGCTATGTGAAAGGATGACTGCTTCTCATTGACAAAAAACGTATCAGGTACCCAGATGTTTTTGATGAACTCAGATCCCACAGATAACGTTTCGACGCCGGGCCTTTTTCGAAACGCCAGTCGGGGATCTGTCCAGAATTGTCGGAAGTAGAAATCCAGGGTGAAGTCCTGCGGAAATTCAAATGATCAGACATCGATTATGGTTTGTGTGTGGGCGAGGAAGGAACATGCATATTTTTGCAAATCAACGTTGAATTGGGCAAAGTTCGCACGCTTAGGTTTTATTATATTTGTTCTTTTACGGGATTGCTGACCGTCATTTATTGTCATCTTCAGAAATACCAGTTTTTGTGCTCCTGAAGATGACAACTATTTATTTCGGTGAAATGTTGGGTGGAACAGTCAAAATGATTGACGATCAATAATCAATGATAGCGGAAAGTATATAACGTTACTTATTTTTGGGAAAGTAACCAGGAAACTGCAGCAAAATGAAATTTGCCCTCTTGTTGTGAATCATTCTTTTGAGTAAACTAAGAGCTCGGAAACATACGTAATAAATCTTTCATATGAACGCTTCAATGTTTTATTGACAATGAAGCATTTCTTAATGTTTGAATGTCCAATATGCATGATAATCTAATTGAAACTTCGATGCATTGACAAAATGTCTTCTATATCTATATGAAACAAAACACTTACCTTGACAGACCACAGACAGCATTTCAATACAAAAAATGAATCACAACTGTTGGTAGAAGAGTAAATCCACCTATGAAAAACCGCAGAAGAGAAATGTACTTCAAAGTATCGACTAACTCATGAGTTGATTATTCAGAAGACAATTTTATTGATCAATCAATCAATCAGCTTTATTTTCACACTAGATTACTACAATTTTATCAAAAGTAAAACCACAAGACTGCACCCAGAATGATTTTATGTTTTGCTGGTTGGTCGATTGGCATTGGCCAAAAATAACATTGGTTGAGTTTCAAAAAACGTTCATTTATTTGAGAATATTTCTAGTGGATTCGTGAAGATTATTTTCAGAAAAATGTTCAGCTGAGTGCATCGAAGTGAGAACAACATATTTATCAATTTTTGAATTAAATCAATTTTATTACCTGAATAATGAAAACTTTCAAGAACATTTGTTGAAAGTACAATTATTGAAGACACTGTACGTTGCGTATTCGTTTCGATTTCAAAAATGTCTTGATGTATCAATACATTTTGAATGAGATTTCGAGATTCCTGAATGTCACTGTTGGTATTCAAGGTGGAGTTTGAATTGTTGGATGGTTGACTTATTTTCGTGGAGTAATGTGAATCAGTGGAATGTAGTTATTCCATTTTTATTTTGGTATTTTGTGTCTGTTAATCAAATAGGTGAGTTTCATTTGATTTATATTTTTACTTAGGCAGTCTCAGTTGAGTTGGCGTCTAGTTCGTGTCATGATAATAATAGCAAATTTAACCTGTGAATTACTGTAGAAGCATTCATTCAAAGTTAAAATTTCTTTTGACAATCATAATGGATATGTTATTCCAACGTTATAATTTGATTATGTCAATAAAAGGGATTGAAATTGTGGGAATTATGCATTACTGAACCTTGGAAGTTAATTTCATGACTAAGTTCTATGGGTTTTAGGAAGAAGCAATTCATTGCTGTGATTTGAAGGCCTACCCTAAATTTTCTTCACTATTATATCGGTTTGAAGAAAAAAATCTAATTTATATCAGAATCGATGTGAAATATGACTACACAATAGATAGTACAAGAGAGGCAACTCAGTGCTTGTCTCCTGAAATTTATCATCTGAAGGACCAAAGGATTCCAGTTTTACAAAAACCCAACACGTGTTCCACTGTACAATAGCTTTTTCAGGCGTGTCTTCACTGACACTGATTGAATTCATTTGGAAAAACGTTCTCAGGGAGTTCATTCCACAAAAACGCAGTTCTCCAGATGAAAGATTTCCTAAACAGTGAAGTTCGAGGTGTACTGAGTTGAACCTCAAAACGATGAGCAGCCGCAGTTCGTCGCGTATTTCTGATATGTACCTCTATTGGTGGAATCAAATATGCCAAGTCGCTTGAACACTATCCGTTGAAGTAACGGGTGATTTTTCAAAAGGTATAGTATTTGATTTTCAAAACAACACAAAAAATTTGAAAATATTGATGAAATTTTCATTGGAATCGATAGAACGATCAATATAATTTATTGTTTGAAGATGATGTCATGCAAATGTTGTTCACGGCTCCGCTTTAGATGGTCCATGCGCTAGGCACACTCTCTCTAACATATCGACCGGTATTTCACGTATAAATGCTTAAATATTGGCTTCCAGAGCTCCAGTCCTTGCTGGTTCATCCCTGTAGACATGAGCCTTAACATGAACTCACAAGAAATAATCCAAAGGCGCCAAATCACACGATCTAGGCGGCCAATTGACAGTCCCCAAACGTGAGATACCGTGAGACACCAAAAGCGTCTCTTAATTGGCAATTGTTTCGCGTGCCGTGTGGCATGTGGCATAGTCTTGTTGAAACCATATGTCCGGCATGTCCAATTCTTCCATTTTGAGTAACAAAAAGTCGTCAATCATCACGCGGTAGCGCTCGCCATTCACAGTAACGTTCCGTCGTCTTTGAAGAAGTGTGTCCCGATGATGCCACTGACCCATAATCCACACCAAACAGTGACTTTTTCGGGATGTATCGGTAGCTCTTGCAATGCTTGTGACTGGTCTTCACTCCAGAAGTGGACATTTTGATTGTTAACGTATTCATTCAACCAGATACGAGCCTCGTTGCTGAACACACTTTTTCGATAAAAATGTGGATCTTTCTCCAACTTTGTCAGCGCCCATTCACCAAATGTTAGACGATCAGGGATGTCGCGTGGCATCAATTCTTGCACCAGTTGTAACTTATAAGGTTCAACACCCAAATCCTTTCGCAAAATTTTCCACGTAGTGGAGTAACAGAGGCTCAATTGCTGCGAATGGTGGCGAATCGACATTTCACGGTCATCACGAGCACTGGCGGATACAGCCGCAATATTTTCTTTGGTCCTCACTCTACGTATGCGTATTGGTGGTTTGATGTTCAATGATGTGAAATGGGTTAGGAATTCAGTTACAAGCTTTCGAATAGCTCCCTCAGCAGACCGACGAAAGTGTCCATAAATTGGGAGAAGTGCACGATGCAGTTTCTCCACCGAGCGTGAAGTTTGATAATGAAATTCAATAATTTGCAAGCGTTGTTCATTCGTTAGTCGATTCATGGTTATAGACCAAACTGAACAAGTTGCCAAACAGATACCAGCAAAAAAATCACTCGTTATTTATAGAAGAGAGACAAACCTTCAACCTTTCTTCGAAGTTCCAAGCTATCAAGGTTGCAAGTGATGTTCGCGTCTCCAGTCAGGCGGATGGCTCTTTTCTGGATAGAATTCAGCAACATCAGGGTATATTTGGGGACAGAGCTCCATACGTGAGAACAATACTCCAAAGAAGGTCTGATTTGAGTTTTATGAAGCATCAAAAGTTGTTGAGGTGTGTACAGTTTTCTGGTTCGAAACAGTGTTTCAAGCTTTTCAGAAGAAACTTTTGCAATTCCAATGGTTGTGCTAAGATATATTGGTGTCCATTTCAACTCCAACAAACTTATTGAAAGAAAGCGGAATTGTCTGACATGATATTATTATATCCGCTTCGGAGACATTTATCTTCTTGGAGAAAACCGATGCCTGGGTTTTTATGGCAATGAATTGAATCTGATTACTTTCAACCCAATTCGAAATCACTTCTGGATCCTCATCAAGATATGCAACCTCCTGCCACCGGTGAAAATGTGCCTCCGTAGCCGATGTCCTGGAATCCAAATAAAATGAAGAAAAAAGTGTGCTGCCGTCAACAAAGCGATATATTGGATTCTTGTTTTTTTCCAATCCAGAAATTCAATGCTTTATATATATTTTACAAATTGAAGTGCCTTTATTTCGAGTACCTGAGTTTTACCTAGCCTGAGTTTGGGAATGAATCAATGAACAGTAACACGAGAAAAGAAGATGAAGTTTACAACCTTATTTGAATAAACTTGTAATGAATGAAATTACCTGTGCTCATGTACCAGTTTCCACATTTGAAAAAATATTCAGTAACGAGGAGTTATTGAATTCTATTCGGAAAAATTCCATTAAAGAAACTACTTCTATGCATGTTCTGCCAGAGTGTCCGCTCCTCACAATTGAGAGACTGAACAATAAAATCCCCTCCGACCTAAGTGAAACTTTTCAATACGAACAATTTTATTGAATTTCCTAAAGAATATAACATTTTATTTGAACTGTGATGTGAGCAACTGCATAATTTATATATATTTTATATGTTTGCCGTTTATATCTACGGCCGATGTGGTTTGAAAAAAACAACTGCTTTTATTCTCTTTGATTCTTCGGGAAAAGTTTTTTTCCGTTCGGCCAATATAAAGTTTTGGGCATGAGCCACAAGTCAACTTAAATACTCCTGATCTATCCGACATTGAAGATTTGTCTTTTTTGATTGTAGTGAATTTACTCGAACTATTATCATTCTGTGAGTCACGTCTAAGCTTCTCTTTTTTAAAAAACGAGTAATACTATTGGTAGGTTCACCAAAATATGACAATGTTCTATAGCGAACGCTATCGTTTCTTGAATTTGGGTAGACCAGGTCCATAGCTTGTTTTTGTAGTTTTTTGAAAAGAATCTGGTCGATAATATCTACCCTGTGAACATTGTTCACAGCAATTTGTTTGGTGAAACGCAGATCTCTCTGAAAATTGCTTCACGACAGTAGAATCTTCAATACTCCATGAAGCATACTATTGAATACGGCTACCTTATGTTGATAGAGATATGAGGAGGAATTATGTATGATTATTCCTATTTAAGATGGTTTCTGAAAATTTTCAGAATCCTGTTCATCGGTAACTTTCGTAATATTCAAGTCGAAGTGATTTATTGAAATATTTACCCCCCTTCCATTGGTGTGGTAATAGTCTGTATGTCGCTGATGTAAAATGATTCTGATGGAAAAACTTTCATCTTCTGTGTTTCCATAAGATTTTTATGGATTGTTTCATTGTTTACCAACGGTCTCCTATTCCGCGTC